TAAATCTTTATAGTTCAGATTTAGCAATGCGACCATAGTAATCTCTATAGCAACATGAGGGCTTAGAAGTGTCACGCTGCACTTTGCAAAGCCATTTGATTTACCTTTGAACAGATGGAGTATGCTCGGCGAAGCGTGGCTGAAATTCATTTTATTATGTTGTGTAAACTTGACACTAATCCAAGGGACATGCCATATTACCCAGGTGCCCTTTCCCTGTCATCGTGGCAAAATAATCTATCCTACTTTTAAAAAGCCTGTAGCCTACTGAACTGTGATGCTGTGGGACTGAAGAACACTCAGAACCGGTTCATGTGGCTTTTGCTTTATCTCTTGCCATGTGCTGGGATATTACAATGTAACATTTTCATAATCACCAAGCAGCAAAAGACAGGCAGGAAAAAACAGAAAGTTGCCTTTCCAAGTGGGTGGACCTTAACATGGTGAAGAAAATGAGCTGGAAGAGCCTATTAGGATCTAACAAGGCAAAACAGAAAGGGAAACAAAAAGTAAATTTTTCTCCTTTATAGCCTATGAACACTAATAATTTCCGTTTATTTAGCGTAGCCTGCCACCTAGTGGATAAAAGACCATGGTGCCGACAAATGAAAGATCGCTTATATAAAAGGCTACAAAAATCTGATGCGACTTCTAATGATCATTTTACCTGACATCACACACACATTGTTCCATCAACTTCACAGTGGCAATGGAAACATATGCAAAATTATATCTTAAGAAAGTAAGGGTAAATTTACATTTCTTAATCTGCTTTCTCTTCCTCAGAATTGACTAGACAATAGCCTTTCTGTTCAGAGTTAGCAGGCCTTGACTCATAAGTCGTGCTCTTTGGGTGGGTTCTCACATATGTGCGTAAAACAGCACGGCTTTATAACATAAATCTTTGATGAATGCAAACATGGATTCTAAGTATTGGACGAGTAAAATATACTTATAGCAGAGATGGGACCCTGCAGCTGTCACACGCTGGCTCTATATACCAAGAGCTCATCAATCATATAACCAATTTATACTGACTTTGGGTCACAGGAATACATTAATAAATGTATTCATTTGACCCAAAAGAGAAGTCAAGCCAAAACAAGTTTTGCTTTACTTTCGGTTTATCTTTCAACTCACTTTTTCTATCATATTTTACCCGTAAAATAAAAAGATGGTGCTGCTGATAACAGAAGAGGAGGAGACTCAACTTCATTCACAAATAAAAATCACTAGGAAGCAGGAAAACATTATATTGGGAGATTTGAATTATCCTGACATTGACTGCCCTATTGGAACCGCTCACTCAGCCAAAGCTTGCCGTTTCCAAAACTTGTTGCGGGGCAATTTCATGGAGCAGATGGTGAAGTCCCAACCATGATGAATGTTACACTAGATTTAAGAATTGCAAATAACTTGGACTTTGTTGCAGATTTATCGACTCAGGAAAACTTGGGTAATAGTGATCACAGAGTGATACCATTTTAAAGTTGGGTACAGAAAAGAGAAGCATGTTGATTTGACAAGAACTCTAAACTTCAGAGGCTAATAAGCTGCATTGCTTACAGTATCATACCAAATGGGACATAACATTTCTAACAATGAAAACTGAGTTGAAGTGAGATTGTTTTAAGAATATATTACACAATGCCATAAGCAAGTGCATACCATTGGGCAACAAAAATAAAAGAACAAGAGCTAAACCTGTATGGCTAACTCCAGCAGTAAAACATTATATCAATGAGAGAAAGCTGGCATTTAAAAAGTATTAGATAGAAGGGACAGCATTGGCATCCCAGAAGTACAAATGATTCAATAAGAGATGTGTAAGTGCAATCTAGGCAGCCTAAATAGAAGACAAAAAACATATTGCCACAGTCAGTAAGAACAACCCCCAAAAATTCTTCCAACAATATAAACAGTAAAAGGCAAGAAAAGAACAGCTAGGTCCAGTAAAAGATATGCACAGGAGGTTGATCAGGAATGACGTGGAGAAGGATGAGGTATTAAATATAGTCTTCTCCTCAGTGTATACTCAAGGAAAAGATGGGTTTAATGGATATATTAAGACCGTGAGTACTCGTAGTGCGCGTAATATACCGTAACAGTTGATTCTAGTTGGGGTTTAAGAAAGACTAGAAAAACTTAATGTGAATAAATCCTCAGGAACAGATAACCTGAGCCCAAGGGTACCCCAAGGAGCTCAGCCAAGTCATAGCAAGACCCTTAAGATACTTTCAATGAATGGTGCACACAGACAAACAGACATGCACTCACAGAGGTTGAACTCTATGTACCTGTGTCTTTTTAATCTAAATTACTATGCAACTATGATTTTGCACATCATGCGATAGATGCGCAAATGTTTATCATATCAATATTTTCTATAAAAAGACATAAAAATCATTAGCGCACACAAAAACAACAAAACGTACAAAATTCTCACTACTGCTAAAAAGACAAAACTGTATTGTGTTTATAAATAACAAAAATTTGTAAATTTTAAATTGTGCCTTTTTGACAAACGGCAAAAAAACCTGGAGGGTGGCTGCACGCCATTGGGTTGCGGTAATGCTCATTCTGCAGTGCTGTGTGTTTGCTGCGTTGCCATAAAATGATGCAGGCATACATTTTATTGTTGCACTCGTGTATACACGCCCAGTTACATCCAAGAAGCTCCCGGCAGGCCATGTATACACAGCGGCTGGCCGGGAGGTAGTTAAAGTGTAAAAACATTAGCACTGTAATGCATTGTGACAACGCACCCCACATGCACAACACAACATACGCCTGCTATTGTGAATTGAACCTTTGTGTGTTGGTGCACCAACACATGTAACCTGCATTATCACAATGTGCATGGTGCGTGTGCCTGTATGTGTGGGGATCTTTTGGTGAATTTTTTGTGTGTGTGTTTAGTGTTCGTAAGGTTTACTGAGCTAGAAGTAGTTCTGTTCTACTGTAAGCGTTACTTCGATGGCAGGGAAAGGGTTAAACTAATAAAAGGTTACGTAACCTATGTAATCTAAAAATCCTTCCCTTTACCCTTTTGTTTTCAACGACGTATGTTGTATGTCCCCAGCAGCAGGCCCCTGTAAACAAACTCCTGGCGGCTATACTCTGTTTTCCTGTGTAAAGCCAACTGTGGGCCTTACACTGGAAGCGAATTCCAGGGGCCGTTGAACAGTGCCCCCCTTCCACCTGACACCTGAAACCCCCACCCTGCTTCCGGCATCACAGGTGTCATTGGTAAGCTGGGAAAGAAACCAGCGAACATCCATTTGCCAATCTGCTCCCCGCTGAATGGGGGTGGAGGCATCACTTCCAGCTCCTCTGCGCTTGAATAGCTTTTTTGAAGTGGAAAGGTGACACTAGGGGGCAATTTTGCTGGCTTAGTTGCTGACAGATCACTTCCACAGCCCGGTAAACAGTGCCTGCCCTCCACCTTACTTCCGGCATCACAGGTGTCGTCGGAAAGCTGGGAAAGAGAAAAGCGAACATCCATTTGCCAATCTGCTCCCCAGTGGATGGAATCGCAAGCATCACTTCCAGATCCTCTGCGCTTGAATAGCTTCTTTGAAGTGGAAAGGTGACACTAGGGGTCAAATAGACACCTATTGTCAACTTAAAAAGTACCCGTCACCACTACTATGCGATTGCATAAGGGGCTTGTGAGCCCCCTATGTGATAGCAATGAAGTAAAACAAAACAAAAAGTAAAATAAAATAATTTTTTAAATACCCCAAAAAATTTTTTCAAGTCCCCCACCCATACAAACATAAACATGCATCAGCGCCGCCGTATAAAACTACCTATTGTGCTACACATGTTAGTTATTGCTGCATGCTCCCCAGTGAGCGCAATATTTCTACGGCCAATATTCATGGTTAAGTCTAAACTGATGACCTGCACAGGCTTTTATAATGTCGCCGATGGACAATTTGGGGTACTGTATTTTGTCACACTTTTTAAGCTTGGCATGTTGGGTATCTACTTTTTCAGCACAACCTCATCTTTTAAATTATACAAAAAAAATGGCTATTATATTGTGCACTAAAATTAACATAAGTGCAATTTCTGCAGAAATTTGGGGTTTGATAAAGAGTTGCACTAATATCATGCAACATAAAAATTTGCAACTGCCACCATTTTTATTCTACTGGGTCTGTGCATTCAGTAAATATATCATTCTTATGGTTTTAAGTAATTTTCAGGCCTAAAATGTGGATTATAACGTGTGCAGAAAAAAAAATACCTTGGAAGCAAAAGGGTTAAAGTAAACCTTTAATGACAGAAATGTGGGAGCTAAAACTGCTGACCTACTTCTGAAATTGCTGTCAAAATGACTTTGTGAGTTTATTAAAAAAATTATAAAAAAATTATAATTAAAAGAGTCCTTGTAATCACTCACCTGTTCCACTGCCCACGAGGCCTATCTTCATTCTCTACTGCCTTTAAAGACACTTGTCCATCCAAAAGACTTCCATTTATGTTGGATGCCTGCTCCTTCCATTTATGGAAGACTTCCATTTGTGTTGGATGCTTAGTAGCGATGTAAGCATTGGTGGGTAGGACTACAGATTATTACCCATGTTATTTTACAGGTGTCCGTCCGTTTTTTTACTACGGGCGGACGGCAAGAGGTTAAATGAAATTATAGAGTATCTTCATGCTGACTTATTAACTTCATAAATCTGAGACACCTACAGATCAAGAACCCCCCCCCCAAAAAAAAATCCAGAATTCCTTATTTACTTGGTTGTTCCTGGTCACTGATTCACAGTACTGAAGCAAGAGGGTCAGCATGTTAGATAAGATGAAAGTTAAAAATGCAGAGATCTGCAATAGAAAGCTCCATAATTTTAGGGGGGGGCTGTCATTATTGGTGTCCTGAAAACGCTAGTTGCATGGCCATTATGCACAGTTTGTAGTGCAAACTTTAATGAATCAGAGCACCACTGTTTAATTCATCTATGAAAATATAACATGTGGCCACTTACTGGTTCCCGGCCATCCATGGCTTCCATCCACAGCCTGCGGTCTTCTTCCGAAAGAGCCTGCATAGTTATTATAGTTGGCCTAAACAAACAATACAAATAACAGTTATTTCTCCAATCATTTGCCACATGTTATATTTATATTTTAAAAAAATCTCATCTTGAAAGTAAAAGAAATAAAGAATACATTTGTTGGGAATGAAAATGGTTGCTGCACTGGAAGGGGTTGGAAGCAATAACTTATTTGCAGCTCTTTTCAGTAGATCATGTGACATGCAGGGGCCACAAATAAAGTATTAGTGATGGGAGACTTCCTGTGCTGGGAGCTGAATGCGAGTATCAGCAGCACAGTCACTAAGTGTTCGGTCCGCTCGGAGGATGTTTAAGAATCTTTGCAAAAAGTCAAAATGGCACTAATACCTGCTGCATGTGCAGTAATAGCAGGCAAGTAATAAGAGTCACTACTAAACATATACACTAGCATTGACATTTAAATGTAGACCAACACCATCCACAGTCATACCGAACAGGAAGCACAACAAGAGTGGTCCCCGCAGCAGGTTAATCTGTGTTGCATTGAGACCAGACCTTCCCATTTCTGGCCCTGCCAGCTCACACCACCGCCATGAGGGCAGGGACTGATGTGAAAGTGCACCATGTACAGCGCTGCATAAATTGTTGGCGCTATATAAATACCTGTAACAAATAAATAAATTGGGTATAAGAGTAAACCAGGCATTACGTGTAGGAAACCTATATGACAAAACAAAGCAATTTCAGCTGGCATTGCTGGAGATTGACAGATAAAAAAAGGAAGATCTTCCTGTCTACCATGAGCAAACCCCATAATTATCCTTGGTGACAGTGTCTAGAAATGAACACTCCTCTTTCAAGATCATATTCAGTGTGATACCTACAGTATCTGACTAGTCAATCAATCTCATATTTAAAAGCTAGATACAAATACACTTACACATATTACTGTATATATGTGTGTGCATGCTTTTTATATACCTACACTTACATTTTATACAAATAAATACTAATGACAAGTCACTTGAATAAAGGGATTCACATATAATTAAAGTGTTTCAAGTTTTCTAGTTTTGGATAGTGTAGGGAAGGATTAGAGCTGCTGTCTGTTTTTTACTGCTACTGGGGCAACTTAGAGATCATTTTAACTCTCCTCCTGTACTTCTGAAAACATTTTCACTAGACGGGAAGTGAGGGGAAAATCTGCAACAACAACACAGAGAGAAAGGAAAAATCCACCAGGGGGTTCTAGCTCTCGCCTACCTTACCAAAGAAAAGCATTTAGGTCTGTCTATGTTGCTGTTGGCAAATACTTATAAGCAGGACAGGAAGTGAGGGTAAACAGAGCAACGGATAGCTGTAAAAACCAGACAGGAGTTCAAGCCTTTTTCACTCTTCTTAGAGCTGCATGATGCTGTGATTTTTAGTAAAAGGGGGTTAAAGGTCCACTTTAAGTTTTGCTATATCCTACCTTTTCCAATACTTACAGCTAAACTTGGTCAGAAAGTGTAACTGCAGAAGAGCAAACACCAAAAGGTGAAATTACATACCTTTTGTTTAACATGTAGACTCCCCAGGGCACGAGTCTTGTTCATATATGCAGACATACAAACTTCTGCATGAAGGTTATGTTTGTATTGGGTATTAGGTTTTTATGAATTAGAGTTGATATCTTTGAGTCTGCCAAGTAATGTTTCTATGCACCAAGGCAAAAAAGTGGACACCGCCACTGAGCCTGGTAGATAATGGCAGGAGGGAGGGGAAAAAAAAAAGCAGAAACAAAAAACAGCTGGAAGTGATAGGAAAGGACAAAAGGTATATTTTTAGGAATTTCCACATGCCAAGTCTCAGTGACCTCTATATACTGTAGTCAAAGAAGGTAAGAATTGCAGTGGACGGGTCTCTCTTCCCCCCACCCCATTTAATTAGTGCAGATGGCAGCATACGTTCTGCTAGCAGCAACAAATTTACCTTAAACCCTACTTCACAACCTGCTCTGTAAAATAACATCCTCCCAGCAAGTTCCCTGTGCCAAGAGGACATTAATCCAGTCTTCTCAGTTTCAACTGCAGTAAGCTTCAGGGAATCCCTTGATCTCAGGCTAATGGCAGACCATTACACAGTCCAGCTAAAGACCCTGCCTGATCAATCTGTAACCACTGAGTGTTTACAAATCATGTGATCACCACGGTAAAAAGAACACCTTTCACAAAAACTTTTATTCAATACCGGCAGGGGACCAAGGTCCCGTTCTTATTGGTGGCCCCTTTGCATATTAAAAGTACCTCTTTATTATCGGCGTCTCAGTATACCGCGAGCTGTAGGTCGCGGTATACTGAGCTTAGGGTAACGGGAGGACGCTAGTTTGTGTCCTCCCGTTACCCCAAGGAGAACTATGGGGAAAAACACTGACCCCATAGTTCTCCTTTAATGTTAATGCTGGATAAAACTCCAACCCAGTCTGAAGCTCAGTATATGGACATTCCCATATATATATATGCCTTTGAATCTGCAGGTTGTATGATCTGTTGTGAATGGCAGCCTTGCTAACTCTGTGGCCAGACAGCGGTAAGTAAACTGGCTGACCATGCCATGCCATGTGTGTTCTTCTTTAAAGAGTAATGGTGATGAAACATTTCTTTGCTCAAAACAGCTTCAGTTGTAAATAAGAGAAAGCTAAAGCACGACAAAACTCTCAGCACAAGAAATCCCATTCATTTCAATGGCCCTGGTTCACAACTGAGAGTTTTTTCGCAAGCTGTAAAACGCTGAAAAAGTACATGAGCTTTTTTTTGGCAATTACAGCATGCTTGGCCCTATAGACTTCAATGGAATCGCATAGAAACTTGCAACACAAGCAGTTTGCACATGTCTGCGCACTTTTCTGCACGCGTTTATCCATTCACCTCAATGTATTCCAATCTGCTCGCTAAAACACACGCGTTCGGGTGTGCGCGCCTAACACGCAAACTAAACGCAGTAGTTGCAACCGCTAGAAGAATGCGTACTAATATGCGCAAAAATGCTGACACCTAGGTGTGCATGGAGGCTTAAAAAATTTGGTCTGGTCACAGAGGTTTACCCTGCAGTACTTCTTTCTACTGCCATTAGAAGTCTGATGGCCAGCATCATTCAACCTACCTTGTCCTAGGCCTAAACTGGCTGAACTGATGGGCTCTTTCTACCATTTCTTCCTCTCACACCCAAGCCCTGCTGTACAAGGACTGCAAGAAGCAAATAACAGGTCCAATTCAGGAACTTATACTGCTTGCTAATAACATACATATAATAATGTACTAATGATTACAGAGCTGCATTAACTTCTGTCTTTTATATCTGCTTGGTTTTCTGCTTTAATAGTATGCAAGGCGGAGCTTAAGGCCTGTTTCACACGGAGCGTTTTATAGCGCTTTTTCTGAACTAAAAATATGCACCAAAAATATGCCCCAACAAAAGTCCCATTCATTTCTATGGCCCTGTTCACATCTGAGCATTTTGTCACAATAAGCAGAATGCCTGTCCCGGGAAAAAGTACATGACCTTTTTTTTTTTACACATTACAGCTCGTTTTTGTCTCATAGACTCAATAGGAAACCCTTGAAAACAGCGTTTGCTGTTTCACTTTTACAGCGTGCCTGCCAATTAACATCAACGAGCTAGAATCTGCTCACAAAAACGCACAAATTGATTTATGCACATAAACCGCACTGAAAAACATGCAAAAACCTACATGAAAAACCGCACGTAGAAACGTGCAAAAATGCTGTCGCCCAGGTGTGAATCCAGCCTAATAGCATTCTTACAAAATACACTAAAACTTTCAAAATTTTAAAAAACAGGGCATTGCTTCAAAAAGATTCCTCCTAAGCAGCATAGGAGTAGTTCTAGTAAAGTGTACCTGTTATTTTGAAAGCAGAGTTAGTAAAGTCCTGCAACAAGCAAGGCCGAGCTGCATCTTTGTAGAGGAAGCAAAGATCTATAACTAATGCAAAGAACCTTCAATTACTTCTGTCTATAAAGCTACATTTTCTGAATACAGCTGTGTAGACTGACATTGATTTATGGGGTATGACTATCCAATTTGTCGCTTCTTCTTTTCTCGGTTTTGTCACCTCTTAATCCCAGTGTTTGAATGAACAGTCTGTTGTATGATCAGAAATAAGTATCTGGTAAGTGCGTTCTGGAGACGAAAGCAGCAGGTCAGAGAGAAGAAATGAAGACCGGATTGCGTACAATGGTTCACTTCACTTACATCGTTAGTTTTCCAGTGACATAGTCGCCGACAATAGCACTTGCAAAGAAGAATCAGAAAATGTGACTTCTTTCTTTTGTAACAGACTGCTACCCATCAGACATTCTGAAAATTACTGAGAAAGTACGAACTGAAAAAAAGGACACTACCTTCGAACAAGATATCATTACGGTTCTGAGTTAGTGTCCCACTAAATTGTTTCTGAAAAAAATATCATCTATTTCAGTGCCAGTGTCTCTGTTACAGAACAGCAGGAAGTAAAAAAACAAAATCCAGACTGTCACCTTGTCATCCCAACCCAACAAGTATACCCCAACCTCTTGTTACATTATCTCCTATTGAATGAATGTAGCCATTGTGATGAACAACATGGTAACTGCACCATGGGAATCTCCCAGAATTTCAAAGTCTATTAATAACAAGGACTATTATTCAGACTCTTGAATGCTTCTGCATAAAAAAAAAAAAGTTTTTAACCTCTTCCTTTCTTCTTAAAGCTAAACTCTAGGCAGATATTAAAAAACACCACTGAATGCAGCAATTTATACACCGATCAGCCATAACATGAAGATCTGGAGAATTTGGAGGCCAAGTAAACACCTCGAACTCGTTGTTGAGTGTACCTAAAACCATTCTTGAACCATTTTTGCAGTGCGGCAGGTACATTATCCTGCTGAAAGAGGCCACTGCCATCAGGGAATACAGTTTCCATGAAGGGGTGTACTTGGTCGGTAACAATGTTTAGGAAGGTGGTAGATGTCAAAGTAACATCCACATGAATGGCAGGACCCATGTTTTCCCAGCAAAACATTGCCCAAAGTATTGCACTGCCTCTGCAGGCTTGCCTTCTTCCCATAATGCAACCTAGTTCCATCTCTTCCCCAGGTAAGTGATGCACACGCACCTTGCCATCCACATGATCTAAAAGAAAATGTGATTCATCAGACCAGGTCACCTTCTTCCATTGCTCTATAGTCCAATTGTGATGCTTATGTGCCCATTGTAGGCTCTTTTGGCTGTGGACAAGGGTCAACATGGGCACCCTGACCACTCTGCCCCATAAGTAACAAACAAAAGTGATGCACTATGTTTAGACACCTTTCTATTGGAACCAGCATCAACTTTTGCAGCAATTTGAGCTACAGTAGCTGTTCTATTGGATCAGACTACATGGGCCAGCCATCGCTCCCCCGTGCATCAATGAGCCTTGGCTGCCCATGACCTTGTCACCAGTTTTCTTTCCTTGGACCACTTCCGGTAGGTCCTGAACACTGCAGACCAGGAACATTTTACAAGAGCTGCAGTTTTGGAGTTACTCTGACCCAGTCATCTAGCCATCCCAATTTGGCCCCCCGTCAAAGTCTCTCAAATCCTTACGCTTGCCCATTTTTTCTGCTTCCAACACATCAACTTCAGGGACAGAATGTTCATTTGCTACCTTATATATCCCACCCACTTCCAGGTGCCATTGTAATGCGATAATCAAGGTTATTAACTTCACCTCTTAGTGGCCATAATGCTATGGCTGATTGGTGTATATTAAATCATTAAATATATTTAAATGCAACTAGTATAAATACCTGCATTCGACTTTATTTAAACCTCCTGCAATCCCCTGCTAGTCTGTAGTTTATCGCCGTTCATGGGAGCACAACATTTTTAAGCTTGGCATGTCGGGTATCTATTTACTCGGCATAACCTCCTCTTTTATATTTAACAAAAAATTATTTGATATTATATTGTATTTCTATGCACTAAAATTAACTTTAATGTATTTGTTGACAAAAATGTTGGGTTTGATAAAGAGTTGCACTAATATCATGTGGCATAAAAACTTGCCACCATTTTAATTCTACAGGGTCTCTGCTATCAGGAAATACATAATTCTGGGGAGGGGGTTAAGTAATTCTTTAAAAAAAATGCAATGGAAATGGACAAAAAAAAAGAAAAAGAAAAAAGCATAAATACTTACCGGTCAACACCTTCAACATCAAAGCAAAACCTCTTCTCTATGGAATCTGTTTTTCTTCGTATACAAGACTTCAAGTGAACGACTTCTTCCTCCCCCTGCAAATACAATAGCTATTTTACTGGGGAAAGAAATGTGGCATATAAAAAGAAAAGAATTGTATACTTAATGAGACTATTGCTAACAGTATCTTTTAAAAGATTAGCAAGACATTTTAAAATTTTCTAAGGACTAAATCACTAGACTGAAGACAAAGTATGGTCAGGCAATAAATTATGCTTTCCATGACTTTAGAGTAAATTAAAAAAAAAAATCACAGATGAGCATCAGTGAGAATGATAGCCAAAAATATTCCTCCTTTAAAAAATACAAATAATCTGCTCATACTAATGAAAAATCCCAGACACTGCAAATGAAAAGAAGAGTCCAAAAGTGCCCTTAATTGTTCCTTAATTGAGTAGGCAAAAAATAGCCAATGGGTTCCCGGGGGTAACAATGCTCCCACTTATCCCATCAGAAGTTAGGATAGGATGAGGGTTTGATTGGACTTAAAGATACTATAGCCAAATGGATCTCTAGAAGATTTGATAAAGGTATCTCCTTTATGCCCGTAATTGACAACAGCAGTTACCCTACATGGTAGGCCTGTCTTGTTTGGTAGCTGCCTTGCCAGTAAGCTTGAAAACGTTCCTACATTTGGACGATTTGAAGGAGCATAATAATCCCAGTTCCTCTTAAATGTGTGCCACTGAAAATGATAAGGCACCCCAACACTGCTCTGATCGGCCTTTACACTAATTAAGTCTATAAGATTTCAAGAAAAAAAACTTTGAATAATAGTAGATTTGTCCTAAAATTTTGAATATAACATGGGTACAAAAAAATGAAAAAAAGGCCTGTCATGAAGGGGTTAACTAGACTTAAGAGAAGCAGCAAAATACACTGCTGAAATACATAATTTACATGGAAACTTGTATCTGCATAAGAATTTTTAATTCCGACACTCCTGCCAAACAGCAAAGCCTAGTCATTGACATCCAAGAACAACCAACCACTCTGCTTACTAGACAGAGAAGGAGTAGCAGCACATTGATGAGGTTACCCTCTTGCTCTATCTGCTCTCTCATCCTGGCAGTATGTTTCCTGTCAGCTAAAACAGAAGGAGCAGAACTTGATTGCTATTGTTTTCTGTCTTACACCGTGTTTCTCCTTCAGTTTCTAGAAATAAAACTGAATTAACATTTGAGCAGCAGAATCTAATATGTGAAAGAACATATTACATTGAGAAAATCATCAGTTACATAAATAACAGGTGGCTTGTTTAACTGAGAAACATTTTTTAGATATGTGTAAAACCCCTGGTCTTCTTTAATAGAGCAGATCAAACAGCAGTGATGCTGTGCAAAATGCAATAAACCAATTAATCCTAACTCTTTTTATCAGTGAAAAACAGTGAGAAAAATGGCAGATAATTACAGATTGCCTGCTCCAGTTTACTGCACATAGCAGGTTCGTCTCTCGTTTTAGTAAGAAATAACAACAGGTTTACAGGGGTTTTCCAATATCAGCAAGTAACTTGAGTGCCAATAGCACGTGCTTACAGTGCAGACAAGCTTAATAATAGAAAATGTAAAACATACCACTTTCCCCCCTGACTTCTGATCAAATGGAATCATAGTAAGCTGTCTTGTTTCCCGTTGATAGGTGCAATAATGTTTAACCCAGGACGTCCCAAAGTGCCCTGGAAGATAATAAAAAGGAACAAAATATTAGTGTCTCCTTTTAAGAATACATAACGGTGCACCAATAGGTCTTTGTAATGGTCTACTTTGTTTGCTTCAGACACAAAGGCATGTTTGTTTTTAGAAAAGCTACAAGGACAAAAAGCACACTACCCGGTTAATTTAGTAAACTCTGCTTCAAGCCTGGAAGATGGTTTTATACACGCCATATCCATGCAGAGAACACTCACGAATGATAGATTACCTTGTAAATTCTGCTTTATAATAATAAAAAAATATATATAAATAGTTTATAATACAAAGTATAATAACATGTATATTATATTATTATATAACATATACACGGTGCAAAGAATCGGTTTTCTAAGGTGTAGCGTGTCTGTACTGACAGTTCAAGCAGTATATAAGAAAGGTGGTGAAAAGGCCAAGACTTGCAGGCAGTCCATAGGGACTTTACTGTAGAGAATATCTGTTGAAGGTTGAAGTCATGAGTTTTAACTTCACATGTCATAGATGTGTGGCACAAACCTGTACATGCGTGAATATAACTGCAAATTTGGCCCCTGACCACGTGAAATCGGGCAAAAGATGAGAAAAGGGGCCAATTGTATTTAAACAACATATCTGGATATGCTCTTCATGTACTGTTTTGCACTCATGCGCCCATATTTTTTTTGCATTCTTGGTATATCAGATTTAGGCAACTCCCATGCATATTTTTCTTTTTTTTAAATACTGTATATGGGTAAAATAACATTAATTTTTTTTTACAAATCACATTACACTGGTGAGTTAAGACATTATTTCATGCGGTTTACATAAAAACCCATTTTATTAAACATGTCATATTAAAAAAATTACTGGACATGCCTGGCAAAATTCTTGTCACTGTGTATTTTTCCAAAATCTGTATTTATAAAATACAGTGGGGGACATTTATCAATTTTCTGTAACATTGTAAAGCAATGCTAAACAGAAGCAGTAAGACAAGTTGTGAGACTTGGTTAAAGCCCAAGGTATAAATTCCTTCCTCAGCTGTTTTGAAAGAGAACTGTGATAGAATAAAACCTGATCCTGACCACTTAATTATGCATCTTTTTAGAGTGAAAATCTGTTCAGTCTTCAGTAAAATTAAAAACGGTCTCAAAACTTTTCAAACTGTTGCACTTGGTTGCCCAGAAACACAGGCACAAATGTGTAAACCTGCGCAGAGACTTTTCCGAAAAAAGAGGCAGCCTGATTTGCGACTAATTATGTTGCCAATTTGCTTAATAAATGTCTCCCACTGCATGGCAACAACACATGTTTCAAAATAGTACAAAGTTGTAAATTCCTAAAAGAATTTCAAATATTCAGGTCATTCAAATGTAATTATAGTTCAACTCCAGGCCAAAACATTTTATTTCATTTTGAGTAGCGTAGGGAAGAGTTTCATTGTTATCTATGTTCTTATTGTGAAGATTTTATCTTTTTTCCTGTCAGGATAGTAAGTGATGCGAAATCTCTCCAAAAAGGAAATGGGTGAAACATATTTAGCAATGTGAGAAGGGTTAAAACGTTTGACAATGTTCTTGTTAATGTGTGCACCTTCTTGTCCAGGTGAGAACTGCACTGTCCAAAATCTTGTACAGTAATCAGAGGGACAGAAAATGAGGGCAAATTTCCCAAACAGGGTCACAGACAAAAATAAAACCATAAGGCCTTATGCACACACAACGCAAAAGCAAAAATTGTATATTGCATATATGCGTGCACTATATGCAATCCCAGAATGCATCATTCGCAATAGAAATTTTAATGAACTGTATATGCGTACGTGTGCATATATGCGGAAATTACGCAGAAATACGCTGCCTGGAAGCATCTCGGGTCCATTCTGTTTTTTGCGCATCTTTACGCAGCGCAAATATATGGCTCCATACGCAGCTATGTGTATGGAGCCATTTATTTGCATATGCTGCATATGGGACAGCATACTGTAGGGCAGTGTGAATGAGGCCTAACAGAAATTGAAACTCTTTCCCATTGTATCCAAAAGTAAAAGAAATACAAAAGAAAAAAAGTTAGCTGGAGTTAGGCTGCAAGGGGTTTTCTAGTTTAAGGTAAACATGAACTGCATGCAGGTTTGCTTAACCAACCCTTAGGCGTTATAGGTGTCACTCGAAGGTGTCTGCCCCTTACATTTACAGCAGTCCCAATCCACCATGATCCACTACTTCAAGGTGCAAAGGATCTTATGAAAATATCATATAAAAATAGCAACTTCAGTAAAAGAAATAAGTACGTCTCTGCACTCCTGACATTATTATATTTGAGCCAGCAAATTGGTTGCTCAACATCAAGCACTTAATGTGTCCCAAACCATAAATAGCAGATTTTAATTCAGGTTCCAGTGACAGATCAGGGAGGTGGGGGAGCATGGTAAAAGTTTAAATAAATACTAGGGATGCACTGACATTTTGTGCCGTGGAAAATGTTACTATGGCCAAATTGCATATATTGTACTAAAACGGATAAAAATTCAGTGCATCTGCAGATTCTTTCCTCCAGACTGGGCGCTCGTCTGTCTCCTCAAATCCCCACTGCTCTCCCCTGGCTGTGCCGGCAGAGGCGGCTGGGATTGGAGGGGACACAGACTGGCGCCAAGCAGGGAGGAGAGAAGCTGTCAGGATGCCGAATGGGGCAGTGCCTAGTAGATACCTTAGGGTTCCGGTTATAAATCCTGCAGGTTAGATAATTAAGTAGTAATTGCAGGTAACTTAAAATGGGAATCGCCTTCGCTATGAATTCATGTGTTTAGTAATCAGAGATTACTCTTTTTATCTAAGTGCAAACTCCAGCAGGCCACTCATCCCCACTCATATTTACCAGAGAGACTGCTGGGCAACCCTTAACACAGTCACAGAGCACCACTGTATTTATAGTTCCCAGAAAGGCTAGACTTCGCCAATAGATGGCACTACAGGTGAGTGGTTGCAACTCACAAGAGCACCAGGAGGAGGCAGAAGATTATCCACAAGAACTACTGACAAAAGGTGTACTCACGTTTCTCCTGGATGTAGAGATATCCTTCCATTGTGAAAGGACTCATCATTTGCTGCTCATGAGGGTTTTCTTTCATCTTCTTCATGAGAGCTTCTACCTCAGAGCGTGTGCCTTCAAACCGATCCCGTGTCTTCAAATTAAAATATATCAATAACGCAAAGAGACAATGAATTAACTTGACATACAAGCAGATAATTTTTCTGTACTTCCAGAAGATAAGTACAAATAGTAAAGTGACTTATCAAAAATATACACCTGTTGTGGAAATAAACTGGAAATTCAGAGTGATGTAGATGTAGTGATGTAAGCCGAGAATAGAAATTGACGTCCTACTTACATTTTGGATGCTGATAGTTAGCTGTGTCTTGAAGTCACTGAAGTCTTTTGCCAGTTCATAACCATGATGGTAAAATGTGAACAGACCTTGCAAAAAAGCCAGCAGCTAAAACACAAAACAAGAAGTACAGCAAAAGAAGATTAGGTGTAATCATTACAAAAACAAAAACAAAACAGGAAAATTGTCAAAACACATCACCTATCAACATATGGGAAACATGCCACTCTCAGAAGATGTTAGTAGGGTCGCCAGCATCCCCCCCTTAAAATAGTGCACTGGGTTGGATTCTAGCTGGTTATCAGCTGAAAGCCTAGAGAGACGGTCACTGGGGGGGGGGGGGGGGGTCTATCAGAGACGACCTCAGATTTAGCCATGATAGGAAGGTTTTGGAGGCTGCTGCAGATATGTCAAGCAAATCAAATGGTAAATGCACTCATCAACATGTCACCAGCTTTAAAGCAAGGTGCACATGGAAGGGCTTCGAACAATACAACAGCAAAATGTTTCCCAGCACACTCACCAACCAGCATGCAAAAAAAACTTGTCTCACCGCTAAGGTTAAAAACAGAGGTTTTAGATACACGTCTTCTGCCTCGGCAAGGCACCTCTATGTAGTGCGGTCCTAACTCTAACCTATGAGAGTCTCCATCTTGGGGCACATGTAGCAAAAGATAAAATTGGGTTAAGGTTTGCCAGGAGGTAGCCCAACCCCCTTAAAGGCACAGGGACACACAAGGGACCCTGCACATCACAACGGCAGCTGAGACTCACATGTGTCACTGCACCAAATCAGTCAAGCAAAACAAATGGCAAATGCACTCATCAACTTATCACCAGCTTTAAAGCAAGGTGCGCATGGAAGGGCTTCAAACTATTTTATCTTTTGCTACATGCGTACCAAGATGGAGACCCTCATAGGTTAGAGTTAGGACCACACTACACAGAGGTGCGAGGCAGTGCGGCTTTCACATTTTCTGCAGAAGACGTGTATCTAAGACCCCTGTTTTTAACCTTAGCGATGAGACACGTTTTTTTGCATGCTGGCTGGTGAGTGTGCTGGGAAACTTTTTGCTGTTGTGTTGCAGATATGTGCCCGCACTTCATATCAGCGGATTGTTAGGACTTCTGTGCAGACTTCATAGCTAATGTTTTTCATTTTTTGGGGACTGCAATCTGCAACAAATAATGAAATGTGAAAACAATGTTATTGAAAAAAAAAAAAAAGGACATTCATGTTAATAAGGGTCAGTTGGCAACAGTTGTGTCAGAACGTGACGTAAATGTTCAGTCAGGGTTTGTGACAGTGAAAACTGCAGATCCTCTGGGGTTAGTGTCCTCATTCTATCCCTCTGGGGAGAGGGAATCCAAGATCAATGGGTGGAAGCCAATGTGCATTATGTAGGTCATTGTAATTATCCATGTGACAGGTCAGTCTAGAAGTGGATAAGTCAAAAGTTTTAAGTTGGTCCTCGTCATCTGGAGCTGCTCATTGGTCATCACTAGGAATGGGTGTGGGTCATAAGTGACCAGGGTAGGGAGGTCATTGCAGCTCATCGTTAATGTGTTTTTTTGGGTCATCAGACAAAAAGAAGTAGATTTAATTTGGGGCCATCAGTGAGTGGCAGTAAGTTCAGAAAGGCAGGCTGTGGGTCAAAAGTTTATTAGTCATGTCAGGTGGTCAGTCGCTGGACACTCATATAAGGAATCCTTACAGGAGACAGTAATGGCTTCTCAGTCCAAGTAATGCAAGTCATATTTGGTTAGTTCGGGTAGGGTTAACAATTGTTATCAAGTCTAAGATATTGCAGTTCATGATTTACAGGCGACAGGTGTTTATCAGCGATCTAGGAGGGAGTGTAATGTTGCTGGTCAGTCCTAGTTGGGGGGGCGGAGGGATTCCGCTCATCAGTCTGGGAGTATAAAAGTTATGGGTCATCATTTCAAGTGGAAAACAAGTTTAAAGGTCTAGGGGGGAGACAAAGGCATGAGTGGAGCAGAGTAAGTAATATGAATACATACATGTATTAGTTAGCTCCCCTTCCAGTCTAATACACATGTGTAGTAGTATGCAATATTTATGGCGAGAGACGTAGGTAAAATTAGTAGCAGCATGGGATATATACATGGAGCAGTCTTGGGTTCGTCATACTACACAGTAGTATGGGATGTGTGTGGCAGCAGTGTCGGTGTCTTATTGCCTTATAGAATAATTGCCTCATCCTCCAGTGCAGGTAAGGATAGTAGCATTTAGCAACCAGCCTTTGCTCCTCTACAACTATGCTCATCTACAGACTCCTTTAGAGGGCTCCAAACACTCAGCACACTAAACTATGAATGATATACTATATACCTTACAACTCCCTTGTTGGCAAACTTAGAAGGGTTCAACCTCTTAGCCCATACCATAAGCTGCAGTACCGTGGGGTTTTTCACATAATAATGCTCAAATTCTTCTCGTTATGTGATGATCTTTTGACGTGTATGGCCAAAGCTTATGTCTGAGTAGAGTGCTTCCTTAAATGTAATTTCACATGAAAGCCCAAGCGTGCTTTTTGCTTACATGGAGATTGTAATGCCTGTTTACTCATGCCAGCATAAACAACAGGAAACATATAAACAGAGGATTTAAGGCCTTGGTCAGTATGCTAGTTATTTATATCCAAGGCTGTGTACTAGTTTATGCAAGAGCTTCTGCTCTCTTGTGTGAACAGGAAATGGGCAGATGTAGATCTTCATTCCAAATCCATGTGAAAATCAAATAAGCACCACATGGAAAAGAGATTTAACTTGTCTCAATGCATTTACATTTTCCATTTAAAACCCATGGGATAGCCTACCTGCCAAAAGCAAACATTTTTCATCCTCATGTTCATCTTCAGCAACTGTCAGTTCTACTAATTAAATATATATAGCTGCATGTATCCTCCTGTACATTTCCTTTTGTAGTCATTAAAGAAGGAAGTTGCACAGCACAGGTTCATGTAATGTGGGGCAGCAGCCCACCCAGATCCACTATAAAAAGCTTGCTTTTAAAGCAGAACTCAAGGCACAAATTGTATTAAACCTTGCAGTGGTGCTACCCCAGCACTGCAAGGGTTAACTGCCCGTTTTTGTCTACGTAAAAAAAAAGTTACACTCACCCAAACCCTTAGCCAGTTCGCTCTTAGCCCTCGTTCACACCTGAAAGTTTTGTAGCGCGTTCCACGCTCGACGAACGCTCTAGAAAACGCTCAAAAATATAAATCCCATTGTATTCAATGGTCTCGTTCCCACCTTGGCGTATTTCCGCCCGTCCCTAACGCGCTAAAAAACGGCCCACGCCTAAAAAAAGGTACAGGTACTACTTTGGGCCGTTTTGTTGCGCGTTTCCATTGGGATACAGCCAAGTAGCCTTCGGAAACGAGCGACATCACACGCGAATCGCGGTAAAAAGAAAAGCGTGACAGACGCGCATATGCAATACGCCTAGGTGTGAACGAGACCTTAGGATTAGTCCCTTCTGCCTCACTCCTCCTACGCTATGGCAGTCTAAGGTTCCTACACATTAGGTTACCAATATGACCAACTTCAAGTGCACCTATGCCCAGACTATGGGCATTAAACTATTTACATAGTCTTAACAAGCAGTAAAAGCGATTTAAAAACAGACCATCCTCTCTAGCTGCCTTTAATGTGATGTTATTATTTCTCAAACTCAGAAACACTTGGCACATTGGACTTTTCCTGCTCTCCATATGTGCGGATATTGAAAGTATCAGAGAAAGTGGATCATCACTTGTGGCCTTGACGTCAGTCCTTTCTGAAATCTTTGTCCACCACTCAGAGGAAAGGACCAGCACAGAGGTTTAGCAGTCATGAGGTCATAGAGATACACATTAAACACATGTACAATA